AGCTGGCGCGGTTGAACGTGCATGCGTGGTGTGGTGACCCGTGTATCAAAAAAAGATCAAATGTCAGACTGGCTGCCCTGTGTGTCAATCAAGTGACAAATGTCATAGTGCCGGTGGAGGATAGGCTATCATCCATCCTCTATTTTTTTGCGCCATGAGATCTACCCACACTACCTTTGTGATCGACCAGTAGATTGATATCAACCAGTATATCGTGATCAACGTATTGGGCACCCCTGAATTAAGTGATCTTGCTACCCCACTCTCCCCAGCCCCATTCCTCCCTAACAGATGGATTCAGGATTACTCAGTGATTTTAGCTGATGATTAGTGGCGGGGGGGGGCGGGGGTGCTGAGTACGCAGGGAAGGCGCAGCAGAAAGGTCTACAGTTACATACTGTAACTGTCATTTAAGAGACAGGCTTATTGTCTCAGGCTTATTCACAGATTTCAAGTTTTTATTACTTTTATGATTCTATAATGGATTTTGTAGCTGCACTGAGCAGCAGAGGGGAGCTGATGAAGAAAATGAATGAATAGGGATAAGTGATGTATGTGAAGGTCTTTATACAGTCTTTGTAGAAGGCCTTAGCTGGTCAATACATTGGAGATTTGTGGTGCATGTGGAGGTTGTTACTCTATAAAGTCTTTGTAGAACACCTTAGCAGGTGTTGAGCATACAAGAAAAGGGGTTAGAAATAAGTATTAGCCCAATTTTACTAAAATTATACCATATTATGTCAGTAGGACTCAAATGGCACCGAATAGTAGGAATGACCCAGGCAGTAGGCACCTCTTGGAGGTGGTTGTGTACTTAAACGAAAGTTTTTAGAAGAACATTAGAACAGCATAAGGAACGTCTTTTTAAAGTTTTGGACCAACTGGAAGCAGGCAGTTAATACCATCTGTTACGGTCTCCAGTCTAGGGTTGGAGCCCGACAGAATGGAATGGGAAAGGGTTAGGGGAGGACGAGACAAACAGGGAACGGAAATAGGGAACACAAGTAAACAAAGGGGTCTTTTTTTGTATTTTTTATATTTTATTCACACCACACAGACACTTCACAACATGGCAGGTGCAACAGGACTTCGGAAGTGACCCAGGCCAAAACAACAAACAAAACAACTAACGAAC